CCCCCCCCCCAGCCGCTCCGTGCAGCCCCTCCGGGTCTGACCTTCCCTGTAGAGTGGACGAGGTGAACTGGTCCCACTGGAATCAGAATCTGGGCATCATCAGCGAGGACCCAGGCAAGAGCGACACGTACCAGTACTACGGCTTCTCCCACACCGTAGGCCGGCTGCGGAGAGGTGAGTGCGGTGCCATGGGCTGGGAGCATCCCTTGGGGGCTGTGGGGAGGTGAGCGCGGTGCTGTGGGCTGGGAACATCCCTTGGGATGCAGCTTGCAGCCTCTGATGAGCCCCAGGAGCAGATTTTGCTGTGGGGGCAGGTGGCGTGGGGCTGACCGGCAAGGGGGGAGCAGCAACAGGCTCCCGGCTCTGACAAACTCCTGCTGTCTCTGCAGATCGCTGGTCAACGGTGGTGCCGCGCGTGGTGGAGCTCAACAAGAGCTGCCAGCCGGAGGAGGTGGTGGTGCCGCTGGGGACCATGGGGACGACAGAGGCGCGGGAGCGGCGGCACGGCCAGGCCTCAGGCTCCCCGCTCTAGCACAGCGATGCTGGGAGCTGACAGACTCTGCCTGGATGCCCGGCACGGCCCCGGCACAGCCAGCAGAATTGCGGACTGGGCTGGATGGTGCTTGTCTGCTCCTCAGGGATTCGTGCAGCCTCCGTCCCTCTGGCAGCTGCTGTCCTGGCAGGTGTCCAGCCGGATGGGGGGTCCTGGCCCTGCCCCATCAGTGCTGGGGGGCTCCAGCTCACACAGGCGAGCTCCAGCGCCGCTGCTTCGCTTTGCCGAGCTGGGGCCATCGGCCGTGCCATGCCAGGAACCTCTGCCGCAGGCAGGGTGTGGGGAGCGCGTCCCCCTCTGCCCACCGAGGCCAATGGTTTTTGCCACACGTTTTTGCACAAGATTTATACAACTATTTATTTAGTAATAAAGACTGACCTGCCACCACCGCCTCCTCCTGGCATTGGCTGATTCCGGCTGGGAGAGCATTGCTGCCAGCAGGTCTGCAGGAGGGAGGCAGGAGCCTGCTGCTCCCTGCACTGTGCTGTGCCGTGCCGTGCCGTGCCATCAGGCAGCGGATGGCCACCCAACACGCTGAGCTCACACTCCTCTGCAGACATCCCCTCTCGTGGTGCCCTGTGCTGCCTGGAGCCTGCTGCCAGCCTGGCAGGACACCGTGATGCCTGCCCACACGGAGCGGGCAGAAGCCCACAAGACACGGGGCAGAGCACCCTGTGCCTGCTGAGATGGGCAGGGCCGCACCGAGCACCGGGTCGGGGTCATGGCTGGCTGCGGCACCCGGTGGTGCCCTCCTGGCCTTGGCTGCTTTGCCCACGAGATGGGGGAGCCTGGTCCTGGCAGCCCTGTGCTCATCTGGTGGTGCATGGCCAGTGGTGCATGGCTGCCATTGCACAGCTGCAGTGCACAGCTGCAGTGTACGACTGTGGTGCGTGGCTGCAGTGCAGGGCTACAGGGCAGGGCTATGGTGCAGGGCTGTGGTGCATGGCTGCGGCATACAGGTGCACTACTGGCTGTGGTGCATGGCGATGGTGCATGGCTGCGGTGCATGGCTGTAGTGTACAGGTGCAGTACATGGCTGCGGTGCAGGGCTATGGTGCAACGGGCTATGGTGCAGGGCTGTGGTGCATGGCTGCAGCGCACAGCTGCAGTGCACGGCTGCAGTGTACCAATGCAGTACATGGCTGCAGTGCAGGGCTGCGGTGTACAGGTGCAGTATATGGCTGAGGTGCATGTCTGTGGTTCATGGATATGGGGCATGGCTGCAGTGCATGGCTATGGTGCATGGGTGCAGTGCACGGCTGCAGTGTACAGGTGCAGTACATGGCTGCGGTGCAGGGCTGCGGTGCACGGCTGCAGTGTACAGGTGCAGTACATGGCTGCGGTACAGGGCTGTGGTGCATGGCTGCGGTGTAGAGGTGCAGTACATGGCTGAGGTGCAGGGCTATGGTGCATGTCTGTGGTGCAGGGCTGCGGTGCATGGCTGCGGTGTACAGGTGCACTACTGGCTGCGGTACATGCCTGTGGTGTACAGGTGTAGTGCATGGCTGTGGTGCAGGGCCGCGGTGCATGGCTGTGGTGTATAGGTGCAGTGCATGGCTGCGGTGCATGGCTGGGGTGTACAGGTGCAGTGCATGG